TAGTTAGATTCCTTAATTTAGGCTAGCATTCTGCTTATAAAGGCTGTCTAGCGCGTTAATTACTTAGTGTTATGTAAGAGACATTATAGATAGCTGCAGCGTGTTATAAAAAGAGTTTTAAGTCTTATTTAAAAGCCTAAAAAGTAAGCTGTATCTAACATTCTTTAAAAGATTTAATCTAGTGTTGTTGTTAAAGCATTATGTAGATAGGTAGAGTTTAGTAGGGGCTTAGCAAAAGTAGCCGGCCAACCTGTGTGGCCAGCCAACCTGTTAGGTACGTTACCTACTATATTGCAAGCTTTTAGCTAGATTATTGTTATATTAAGAGATAATATGCTATGTGTGGCAATTACTAACAAGCAGCAATAGGCTCTATGTTAATAGTATTAACGTTAGGGTCCTAGCTAGAGGCAGCTTAATGCAATTAAGTAGTTTAAGTAAGAGTACAACTATTGTATTTATTAGTTAACAGTATTAGAGTCCCTTTTAAAGCAATATAGCTATCTTAACAGTAGCTCTGCTACTACCTGCACATGTTAACAACAGGCATAGTAGCCTATTCTTAAAGCTGTTCTTTTTAACTAGCAGCAGCACTTTAAAAGCTCTAGCAGTAATATCCCTAGTAATATTCTTATTAAGAAAGTAAAGGCTATCTAGCTATAAATACTTAGTTATGCTAACTTTTTTATACTAGAGTTTAGCTTAGGCTAGCTTACTAACTTTAAGCAACAGTATAATATTAAGCTTTATTAACACTAGAGTAAGGCTGCGTTAGTGCTAGCTAGGGCTAAAAAGAAGATAAGGGCTATTAGAACACTATGTAAAGAATACATAAAGCAGAATATATTTAATATAAATAAGATAAGCCTATATTAGCAGTAAGTGCTATTATTAAGGCTTTTTACTAGAGCTTAACCTAGTAGGAAGAAGAATAAAAACTAAATATTAATTATATATTACTATAACTTTACTAGCAGTAAGCACTTTACTTTTTAAGCTATTAAAAAGGTAGCTAAACTACATGCTTTATAATCTATTAACTTTAAGGCTTTTAGCATTTAATAGTTATTAAATCTTAAAGTGTAGATAACATATACTATTATAATAAATTAGCTATAGGCCTTTTATTAGTAAATAAAAAAGACTAGGTCTATTCTACTGCTAATAAATAACTACAGCACTTA